CACAGTTTCAATGAGTCAGAAATTCAGAGAATGCTTGGCTGCATTCTCTGTCTGAATATCTCACAAGGCTAAAATCAAGGTGTCAATTGGGCTATAGTTATCCCAAGGTTCAACCAGTGATGAGTCCACTTTTACAGTGACTCAAGTAGCTGTTGGTGGGACTCAGTTCCTCCATAGCTATTCTTAGTTGGCGGTTGGCAAGAGGCCTACTTCACTATTTTACCACGTGGATGTTATCCATAAAGCATCTCACAACATGGAAGCAGCTTCGACAGGGCTGATAAATAAGAAGGCAACAAAGAATGCGCAAGAAAAAAGTCAAAGGCTTTTGTCATCTAGACTTGGAAGTGATTAAGCTCAAGTGTGATTAATGTCAAGCCAACCATCAAGCTGAAAGGACAGGATATGAATATTAAGAGAAGGGGATCACTGAAAGCCATTTAGGAGACTGCCTACAAATTATGTGGATATGGATGTTTTATGAAAATAAAATTCCTCATCTTAGAGTGGTTTCTTTTTACTTTCTTTCTTTTTCTTTTTTTCTACATCTAATACTTTAGAACCCAAAACATGGGGACAAAGACAAACTTTAGCATCTTATCCTTAATATTTAGGAGCACAGCATATGTCATGTTAAGGATGCTACTATGCCTTTACATTATGTTGGACAGTATATATTCATCTCTGGCTCTCTTTTTTTCTTTCAAGTGATGGTGATTTATAATGTCTAGAATAAAGTATACTTAGAAGCCAAATTAAAACTGTACTTTAGCGTATTTGTATAAGCTTACTAAAGTATTACTAAATACTCCTGTTTGCATCTTCATCATCTCCAAACTTTTTTCTCCTGCTACGGCATCTTTTCGTATTTGCATGAACCAAATGTGGCTTTTGAAATAGGAAATTTTGGATGGAATAATAATCCACTATGAAGGAATCATATAGTTAGTGTAAGGAGAAGGGCTGACTTACAAGACAAGACCTAAATATATTTTTAAATTCTTCAACACTACTGTACCTTCTCCGTAATGTACCCAGAACATATGTCTCAGATTTCAATAGGCCTTGGAGTCACATTTTCCTCAAATACCTGAATAAAAAGAGGAACCTACAACCTTGCTTTATTATATATAAGAACCTAACAATTTACCAGGTGTTTAAAGATATCCAGGAACATTTATCTTCTTCAAAATATTTCCTGATTTTCACTTGCCATTCCACTTCTCATCTGGATCCAGATCAGAACCTTTATCTACTTTTCTGCAGGTTACTCACTTCTGGCTTTCTTCATACTTGTGTGGCTCTCTTTTAAACACTTCACACTGAGTTGTGGACATTTATCCCTTCTTTTTTCAAAAGGTCTTTTTTCTTTTCCTTTTTCAGGAGGCAAGGAAGGGGGAGGCAGTAGGAAGGATTGAACAGAGAGGAGGAAGTGCAAAATACTCATTTGGAACAATGGGAGATTGAGTAGACCAGACAAAAAATGATTAAAGTGAGGACTGCTGGCATGGTCCTGTTTTCCTCCAGCCATGTTTAGTTGCATCGTTGTGGCATGGAATAGATGGAGAGCTGGGTTTATCCAGGGCTCGCATCTTACCAAGCAGATAGGAGGTGACAGGGAGGTGGGTGAGTTGAGGAGGTGTGCAAGGGACCAATGAGAATGGTTGGCCATGGAGTTTAGGCTGGCTCACTAGAGAGGGAAAAGTCATAAAGGGAGGAAGAAACAGTGAACAGGTAGTAAGATCTGGACTGGAAGTGCTGGTAAGGTTGCAGGAGTTTTGTTTCAGGGCAGTACAGGGAGTAACCTGGATAGCTAGGAGGTGGTGGTCAGAGTGGGATACTGTGGGGTTTGCAGTCCTTGGACCTGACAAGGTTTAAGGTCTGATCATGGAGGGAGGGGGAAGCTGAGGTAGGGCAGAGGACAGGAGTGGGCTTCATGAGATCAAAAGGATGTTAGAAGGATTATCTACCCGGATATGGACATCTCCAAAAAGAGGCCTAGTGTGAAGAAGTTACATCCTAAGCTCTTCATGGATAAGGGAAGCATGCGCCACGTGGGTAGCCTCCCTAGTCTAGCACCCAGTATATAGCCTATGCAGAGTGAATACCTGGGGTCTGCTGGGGGCGAAATCAAGGTCCCTGTGACAGGACCTGAAGCCTGGGGGTCTCGGTGACAGGAGTGGGCCTAGTTTTTTGGTGTAGAATTGAGCCTTGAGTGCACCGGTGGGATCATATTGCAAGGAACCCCTCCAAGACTAAAGGAAGATGCATCTTCTGACAATGTACGCTCTAGGAGTCCCAAGTAGCTGGGCTGGGGGTTAGATGGGCTCCAAGGCATCTCCTCAGGTGGCAATGCGGATCCTTGGGAAGGCAAAGCTGTGCAGGAAGAAAACGTCAAGATGCTACATTCCCTCAGGGAAAGCCCCTTTCCCAGGAGCAGGGAAGGCGAGGCAGTTTAGGCTGGGTCAGTTTGTCACTGCCCTCAGAGTCTGTTGATCCTGGAAAAAGAGGGCCTTATTTTATTTATTTACTTTTCTTTGAGACAGTGTCTTGCTCTGTTGCCCAGGCTGGAGTGCAGTGGCTCCATTTCAGCTCACTGCAACCTCCGCCTCCCAGGCTCAAGCGATCGACCCGCCTCAGCCTCCAGAGTAGCTGGGAGCACAGGGACCACAAGCGCCCGCCACGACGCCGGCTTTTATTTATTTTATTTTTATTTTTTGAGAGAGAGACATAGCCTCCCTATGTTGACCAGGCTGGTCTTGAACTTCTGGGCTCAAGCAGTCCTCCTGCCTTGGACTCCCAAAGTGCTGGGATTACAGGCGTGAGCCACCATACCCGTCTGTTTTTTGTTTTTTGTTTTTTGTTTTTTTTCCGCGAGACGGGGTCTCCCTATGTTGCCCAGGCTGGTCTTGAACTCCTGAGCTCAAGCGATCCTCCCGCCTCGGCCTCCCAAAGGGCTGGGATTACAGGGATGAGCCACCGATTCCGGCCAAAAGAGGGCTTTGGGGCACCCCCAGAAGGCGAGATCTCTCTCATCTGTCATCTTTAAAGAGGAGGAAGTGGACTCCCAATCAGCCATAGTCCATTCGCCCCGGGTACGGTGACTCCGGGGCTGCCAGGACCAAATGGTCTCCTTCTGGCTTTTGCACGGCATCAAGTAACCCGCTCCAGGCTGCACAGCTGCCCTGGCCTTGGGGAAGGACTCCTGGAGGGCGGTGTAGGCTGCTCCAGAGTGCCACCGCAGGAGTTGAGGCCGTGGATTCTGAGGGCGGATTGGGGCGGAATCCGGAGGGACGCGGACCCGGTGCAACGCACTGCGCAGGCGCCTGCACCCCAGCTGTTAGGGAGTCTTTCTTCCAGCTTTCCCCGGAAAGTCGTCCAGGCACCGGTCTCTTTTTTCTGCCTTTTTTTTTTTTCCCTCAGGGGAGTCGGCGCGACGGTGAATTTCCGTTGCCCGCGGTGCCCAAGTGGACCTGACGAGTCGCAGTTGTGAGCAGGTTCGGTGCCGCGGGCTGGGGTAGGCGGCGGTGGGGTCCTTGGCTCTGGGGTACTGGGAATATCGCGAGTCGTGCGCGTGGGAAGGTCCTCCCCCGGTCCTCTGGGTCATCTTTGCTCCGGAGAAGCAGCATATTTCGCATCTGTCCCAGGTGTGCCTGGGGGTCTTTGGGAGAGGACGGGGTGAATCCCTGCAGAGAGCCTGAACGGGGAGGGAAGCTGTCGGGGAGACTGTAGGCGACTTAGACCTGAGCCGAATCTGTTGACCCCAAGTTGTGCTATTCCCACCAATAAGAAAAGGGAGAGAAACATTAGTACATGTTCGGAACTAAAATATAGTAGAGAAGCAACATAATCTCAGAAATCACACAGCTACTCAGTTTCAAAGCATTCCTAGTGCCCAGCTCTCCTAACTCCCGGCCAGTGTTCCTTGACATTATGGTGATATATAAAGACTTTCTGTTTCCGCTCGTGTGTGTGTGTGTGTGGGAAGCCTCTGACTCACCTCTATGCTCCAGTAGCACCCTGTGCAGCCTTCCAATGTAGCCCTTATTGCATGGCACGGAAGACACTAGTTTGAATTTCCTCTGCCAGTCAGATCATAGCGATTTCCATTTACTGGCGCAGTGGCTAGCACATCATAGACACAAACATTTATTAAACGGAATTAATACAGGACCTTAACTGAATGAAATGGCACCCTGCTCCGCTTTTTTTCAGTCAAGCTGTCAGATTTTATGCAGCCCCATATCCTTAAAAAACTCACTAATTCAGTGATTACCAATTCATTGACCACAGATTCTCAAGTACCTCAGAAATTAGTGGAAGGGTCTCTGTGAGTCCATGGGCTCTCCAGGCATCATCTCGAACCAGTCACATCTTGCACGTACAGATATTGCTGTTTTTCAAATGTGTGTAGATGAGTTGTAATTTAGGAGTTTTAAAGAGTCGACAGGTACTAAAAGTAATACTGCGCTCATATTGGAAGTTCATAGAAACGTTTTAAATTTTTTGTTAAAATTTGATCTTTAGTTTAAATTAGGAAACCACTTCATTAGTCCAGTTGATATCTAGGTCTGAGCCGTCCAGTAAGTAGCCACACGTGACTGTTTAGAGTTAGAATGAAATTAATTAAAAATTCATTTTTTCAGTTTCTCTAAATACATTTTAAGTAACCACACTTGGCTAAAGGCTAAATAGCTGAAAAGTACAGATATAGAATATTTCCATTCTTGCAGAAATAGATAGTGCTGATGTTGACACTTAAGATGAATAGAAAGTAACTTAACCATAAAATGTAACCTTAGCAGAGGTAACTCATCTAATTTATAGCATAACAGAGAGAAATGAAATTGGGGATGGTTAAGCAGTTTCTACCCTTGTTCAGTGAACAAATACATCATCTCTTCATAAAGAAATACATGAAATTTAATGTTTTTCCCTGGGTATTGCCTGGGTTGTAACATGCTTCTCCCACCTCCTTACCCCGGCATTCTTCCTTGTAGGTTAGAGTGACTTGTTATTGGTAAATAGCCACTATGGAGACTAAGGACCAGAAGAAACACAGGAAGAAAAACAGTGGACCCAAAGCTGAAAAGAAAAAGAAGCGGCATCTGCAAGATCTCCAGCTAGGAGACAAAGATGCTGGGAAGAGAAATCTCAAAGCCTTTGCAGTTCAGTCTGCTGTGCGGATGGCTCGATCGTTTCACAGGTATGTTTAGCTACAGTCTGATGCTTCTTCCGTTGATTCTTTTTAAATAGTAGGAGCCTGTCACAGGTGACATTTGGATTCACAAGTCTAGTCCAGCTCCAAAGGACATGGAGATGCGTGCTGTGTGACTTTTACCAAAACATGAGAAGCCTTCCCATAGAAGCTGCCTTGCCTCCAGCATCTGCACACTGGTTGGTGTTTCTTGCCCAAGATACAAGAATTTATAGAATTTGTTTTTTCCTAAACTTTAAACTATTTCTATGGTGATAAGTGTGTTTTTTTCCTCTGGATATATTTTACAAAGTTGTAATATAAAATACAAAAATTACAATATTTATTACTAACATAGCTTTATTTAGTGAGTCCTTGTGATATTCTTAGCAGTGTACTTTAAACACTATTCAACTAAATGCTTCCAGCAGCCTTACCAGAATAGGATCATTCCTGCCCTCATTTTATGGACAAGAAAACTGAGGTCAAGAAAACAAGTTACCTCCAATCATATAACCAGTAAGTAGGAGAGCCAAATTTAACTCCAGAGCCTCTGCTCTTATCTGTTATGATGCACTGCCTCGGTATTTACCTTTTGGTTTTTAAAAAACTTTTAAAATCACTCATGAAACAGTCAGATTTAAGGAGTGTTTAATTTTCAATTCTCTATACTATTGAAGTCGTCTTGTTACATCTTTATTGAACAGCAGTTATTTGGATGAGGGTCAGAAGTTAACAAGTTAATAATTGACAAGCTAATTTTATGTATATATAGTTTGTTGTACTCTCTATAAAATATACTGAAGTACTCATATCTGTAAGTATACTAAGAAAGTCTACTTATAAGGTTGGTACCTTTTACTCTATTTTGCAAGTGAATTTTCTTTTTCTTTTTTTTTTTTTTAAATGAATAGGAGTCAGGATTTGAAGACAGAAAAGTGTCATATTCCAGTGGTTGATCGAACTCCACTAGAGCCCCTACCAATAGCAGCAGTGGTGACGGGGCCTCCAAAGTTGGAAAGCGCACTTTGATACAATGCCTCATTCGGAACTTCACCCGGCAGAAGTTGACCGAGATCAGAAGCCCTGTGACGATCGTGTCAGGTAGAAGATGCCGCCGCAGACACAGAGTTGGCGTGGCTGTTTCATCTGAGGGCCATGCATGTGTTTCTTGTTTTCTTGAGTGGAACATGTTAAATATTTTATATCATGTTACTTCTCTTATATTTTTACTAAGTTAGCTATAACTTCAGAAAAGGGTAAGTTCCCAGAGATAAGGATGTGATACGTATCTTATCCTGACTGCTCTATGGCTTTGCCAAGCATGTTCCTTGGAAGGGCGTAGCAGGCGTGGTACTGTGAACACATCATTTAACAGATAGCGTCTATCTCCTATGTGCCAGGTGCACATGCTTGCCCTTATGAAGCCACATGCTGGTGGAAGTGCATGTTTTCTCTTTTTCCTATGAGAATTTGTCTGCTTTGGGAGATGGTGACCTTTCCAAGTTTGAGGGAAGGTGAAACAAACTTCCAGTGGTAGAATGGCAATGCGCACTCTGAAATCTCTTGTTATTGCAGTAACACAGTTGGATTGAGGCTTTTCTTTATCTTTGGAGCATCCATATTTTCTCTTCCGTTTTTTTGAGACAGAGTCTTACTCTGTGGCACAATCTGGAATGCAGTGGTGTGATTACAGCTCACTGCAGCCTCAACCTCCCAGGCTCAAGCAATCCTCCTACCTTAGCCTCCTGAGTAATGCATGCCACCATGCTTGGGTAATTTTTCTTTTTTTTTTTCTTTCTTTTTTGTTTTTGTAGAGATGGGGTTCCCCCATGTGACCCAGGCTGATCTCAAAACTCCTGGGCTCAACGGATCCACCTGCCTTGGTCTACCAAGGTCCTGGGACTACAGGCGTGAGCCACTGTGCCCAGCCCATATTTTCTTGACTGTTTTCTTATTACCTGAATTTAGACATAATTATCGTTACGAATATTCTGTTGTATTATGTTTGAGGAAGTTTTTAGCGATAGTGGGAATACGGGAAGTTTTGATAGAGGTGAACACACCTGCAGCTGAACAGCAGGATCGTGGTTATCATGGAGCCTGTCCAGTCAGAATTTTCCCTGTTTGAGCACTTTTATTCACCTGGGTAGACTTTTGATATTATCTAAATTTAGAACACAGCAAGAAAAACACGATGGAATTTATTTTATTTTACCAGTTTTTGCCTATAAAGATGAACTTCTGGTACACTCCTATAAACGTATATGGTGTTTTACTGGATGCAGTTACAAAAATGAAAATTAGAGTTGATGGTTAGAGTTTTTTCAGGGTCTTTTTAAAGTAAAATTTTCATCTTTTCACTTATAGGTAAAAAGCGCAGACTCGCCATTATTGAATGTGGGTGTGACATTAACATGATGGTTGATCTGGCTAAAGCAGCAGATCTGGTAAGTCAGCAGGGGCAGCCTGGGGTGCTGATGGAGACTTACAGCGTTGTGATAGGTTATTTACCCTGTCAAGGGAAGAGAGTTTTATGATTACTAAACGAATCATGGTCATCATCAGGGATACAGTAGATGTGACTGAATTGATGATAATAATAATAGTAATAAATGTTGTAATACTGATAATACAAATGGAATGTGCACAATGAAATGTATTCCAAAATCTAAAAGCAAATGACAGGATGCAGAAAACCTTTAATGAACACAGCTAATAAGAGTTCATTAACATGCATACATATATACGTACAAATATATCACAGTAAGTACCATTTCTTCTTGCATCCTTCCTGGCACTATGCTAACTGCTTTCTACAAATTTTCCTTACGTAAACCCTTGATACACCCTTCAGGTGAGTAGGTATTATCTATAGTTTACATAAGATGAAATAGAGCCTCCCAGCAGCTAAGTAACTTGTGTGAAGATGTACCCCTTGTTCTTGATGGTACTGGAACCTTCATGCTTAATGATAATGCTAAAGTAAGTACATGAATTGCCTGAAGAAATGGTCAGAATTTATCAATAGAAAATGTAGACAGTACTCAGTGTGTGGAGAATGCATACGGTCTTGCATTTATGGAAATGATAATGTTCACTATTCCTGATAGTCTATTAACTATCTTTTAAATTAACAAAAATAAAATACAAGTTAGGAAAAAAAAAAAAAAAAAAAGGCCAGACACAGTGGCTCACACCTATAATCCCAGCACTTTAGGAGCCTGAAGTGGGCAGATCACCTGAGGTCGGGAGTTCAAGACCAGCCTGACCAACATGCAGAAACCCCGTCTCTACTAAAAATACAAAATTAGCTGGGTGGGGTGGCGCATGCCTGAAATCCCAGCTACTTAGGAGGCTGAGGCAGGAGAATCGCTTCAACCTGGGAGGCGGAGGTTGTGGTGAGCCGAGATCACGCCATTGCACTCCAGCCTGGGCAACAAGAGCGAAATGTTGTCTCAAAAAAAAAAACAAAAAAAACAAAAACAAAAAAATAAGCCATATTGATTAGGAAGTATGGGGTGATGGATTCCTTGTTTTTTTCATTTTTATTTAGTTTTTTCTAGAGCTACAGATTTTATACTTTGGCCCAGAAAGACTCCTAAAATATAAAGTGAAAAGTAATACAGGTTTTAAAGTTACGCCACTGTAATGTCAGAAAACTAAATAACATTTAAATTTTGAACATGTAATGCTACTATTAGTAAAAATAAGTGTTATTAATGTAAATCTGTGTAAAGATTACTAAATCTTGTATACTTGAAAAGATTGAAATAGTTCATAGAAGTCATCTGTTTCCCTTTTATTTAAAATGTAGCAAGTTTCTAATTTTAAAGACATACATATTAAGAGACGCTTTTACTTTTTTTATTTTTAGTTATTATGGATGCATACTAGTTGTACATATTTATGGGGGACATGTGGTATTTTGATACAAGCATACAATGTGTGATGATCAAATCAGGGTAATTTGGATATCCGTCACTTCAAACATTTATCATTTCTTTGTGTTAGGATCATTTTAATTTCATTCTTTTAGTTATTCTGAATTACATAATAAATTATAGTCACCCTAGTGTGCTGTTGGACACTAGAATTTATTCTATCTAACTGTATTTTTGTACCTGTTAACCTTTCCCTCTTTGTCCCTCCCTCCCTGCTCCCCTTCCCAGCCTCTTAGCCATCATTGAGAGAGATGCCTATGTAAATCTTTTTCAGATTTTCAAAAGGAGCACACACATTTGGTAACGCACTCTAACTAGTGCAGGGTACACACAATGCGCGTTTTCTCTTTCCTTGCTCTAACCGCTGGTCTCTCAGGGCCCTGCAGAGCAGTATCCTTCCAGATACATATAAACACACATGCCACCCTTTAAAAACACAAATGGTAGCTTATTTTACACACTGTTCTATGCTTTGCTTTTTTCATATAATGTATCTTGGAGATACATAGTCAGTAAGTACTGTAGTACTGCCTCCTTCTTTTTAATGTAATATTCCATTCTATGGATGCACCATAATTTATTTAGCCTAGCTTATGTTGATTGCTCTGCTCTGGGTTGTCAAAGCCTCCTGACTATGGCAAAGGCACACACAGTACGTGGATTTGGGTGTGTACGTGTGTGTGTGGATTAGGGGAGTAACACTGGCTTAGATGACAAAGATTGGCAGCTGAGGGACTGTTTGGTCCCTGTTCTTCCTGACCCTAAAACCAGCTGCTTGCTCCTTAGCACTCTGACATCAGATGTGGTGTGAGGATTTTCCATCTGTTCTTCGAGCTGGTCCAGTGTTGCTGGAGAGCTCTGCTTGCTGCCTCGGTCTGCAGTGGCAGCTGTGCTTTCCTGCAAGCCCAACTTTGCATATCCTGTGGTTTTGGGTTTTGAATGTTTCCTAGTTTAATCAAAGGTGGGCATTTCTGTTTCCATTTTGTGTTATTTTCGGTTATCCATGGAAAGATAAGAACAGAACCATCTTTAATATTAAAACCAGAAGTTTCCAGGAATCAGTTCTGAAATTATTTTGCATCTTTGAAGTGTCTTAAATTTTAAAAATTGGTCTTATCTGCTTATATTTTCTTATAGACTGCCATTCGTGATAATCTTACTGTTTTTTTGACTTAATTCTAAACTGGTAGCTATTTAAAAAAATTTCTGAGCAATTGAGTTATACAAATTAACATGCAAGATAGAGGTTTACACTGCATACTTCCCAGCCAAAAACAGATTTTTTTTTTCTGTGAGGAAATTGAAAGAAGAAATTGGTTTTCTGTATATATTTAATATATTTCATTGATTATCACTTTCTTCCCATTCTTTGGATGTCAAAGACCTGTTATTTGGCTTAAAAATATGTTACAGAAAACTTCATTTCTTTAAATTAGGATTTCTTAGGTAAGGGCCAGGTTAGTCTCAGCCTTTTCTGAGTTACTTCTCACGCATTAGAATTCTTAAAATGAAAGTTTATATCCTAGTGGGCATCGTCTTATGGTTGCCTTTTAGAGCAAGTCAGAGGGTGGTGGTTTCTCTGGGTGATGCCTGTGTAGCCATTTGATTTAGTCTGGAGTGGGACTTTCCTGTCGAGGGCCAGATACTAAATATTTTCGGCTTTGTGGATCATGTCTTTTACAGCTACTTAGCTCTGCAGTTGTAGTGCACAGGCAGCCATAGACAATATGTAAATGAATTAATGTGGCTGTGTTCCAATAAAACTTTAGTTACAAACACAGGTGATGGGTGGATTTGGCATGTGGGCCAGTTGCCAACCGCTAGTGTAGGTGGTCTGTTTTGGTCGTTTCGTTGAGAAATGATGTGTTCTGTTTGTAGGTACTGATGCTTATAGATGCCAGCTTTGGGTTTGAAATGGAAACCTTTGAGTTTCTAAACATCTTTCAAGTACATGGCTTTCCTAAAATTATGGGAGTTCTCACCCACCTCGACTCCTTCAAGCATAATAAGAAACTGAAGAAGACAAAGAAGCAATTAAAACACAGCTTCTGGACAGAAGTTTCCCGGGTAGGAAGAGAAATAATTGTTAGAAACTAACAGTATAATCCTTTTAAAATAGACTGAAGAGGCAGGCACAGTGGCTCAAGCCTGTAATCCCAGCACTTTGGGAGGCAGACTTGGGCGGATCACTTGAGGCCAGGAGTTTTGAGCTCAGGGCAATATGGCCAAACCCCGTCTCTCCTAACATGCAAAAATTAGTCAGGTGTGGTGGCACACACCTGTAATCCCAGCTACTCGGGAGGCTGAGATATGAGAACTGCTCAAAGCCGGGAGGCAGAGGGTGCAGTGAGCTGAGATTGCACTGGTGCACTCCAGCCTGGGTGACAGAGTGAGACTCTGTCTCAAACAAAGAAACAAACAGACAAAAAAGACTGAAGAGCTATCACTAAACGTCTCTCTAGGATTTGCCTCCTGAATTCCCATTGTGTATGTGTTTCCAGTCTCTGGAAGGTTTCCCTCAAGAGAGCGCTTATTCTGGGCCTCTTGGTGTATCTCATTTGTCTCTGTACCTGCTGCACCAGGCAGTGTCTGGGTGTTTGGGGGTGGGGACTTAATAGAGTACATCAGAAGTTTCTCCCAGTTGCAAGACCAGGCACTGCCCCTTCCTTTCCATACTGCTCTGGTCCATCGGCCACAGAACCGTTTCTGTGCTCAGAGGCCTCACCTCCCTCTCCTCACCATACTTAGATGGATGCCCCTGCTCGGCTGCAGAGCAGTCTGCCTCTGTGGGGTTCTAATAAGTTCTGAAAGAAGCCAGTAAGGCTCTGGAAGCCTCAGGACAGTGGCTTTGCTGGAAGTCTCCCTTCTTAGGATTGCTTCTTGTTTAGAGCTTTTATTTTGTTGCAGTTTTGACAAGAACTTAATTGAAATTTAATTTTTAATTTTCCTTTAATGTTTAGGGTGCCAAACTGTTCTACCTTTCTGGAATGATGCATGGAGAATATCAAAACCAAGAAATCCACAATCTGGGCCGTTTTATTACAGTTATGAAGTTTAGGCCTCTCACATGGCAAACTTCTCACCCTTATATCCTGGCAGACAGGTAAAAAGTGACTGTAAACTTTTTCTTCCTGGGCCATATATTTCAAAGCTAAAAAGGCTAGAAAAAGAACAGTGATAGGATTTATTTTGTGCCTATTTGAATAGTCGGGGGTAGAAGTGTAGTTGATGGAAAATGTCTACTTATGTCATTGCTCAAAGATGCTGTGCCTTTGGGAGTAAATTAATTATGAGATGTTTAGGAAAATGGGAGGACTTGGAAGCATTTAAGGCTACAGGATGTGGCCCCATCCTACGTTCAGCCTCAGTTTTCAGTGATGCTGCCTTCATGTCCGGGTGCTTGAGTCCTCGTGTGTGCCTTCAGTTTCCTTCCTTTGTGCTCTTCTTTGTGCTGTGGTTTTCTCAGCCTGGAATACCCTTTCTCCACCTGCCAGAATCCAAACCACAGTAAAAATCCCAGAGCACAGGCTCACCCTCTTCCAGAAAGGGATTTTCTGAATATGTTCTTCACTCTTCCCTGACCCCAGGTGGACGTCATCTCCCTGTCTGGTGTCTTATGGAATGAATGTCACTTTCAGCCTAGAGACACAGTTGTGTGCCTGTCCCTTTTCCTCTGCTGGATGGTGAACGGTGCTTCCTTGTTTCTGCATTTTCTAGTTTTCTGAATGACATGCTTAGTGGACAAGAGTGTGATGAGTCACTGACACATGAAAGGAGGTATAGGCACTTTTGCCATTCATTTCTGCTGTATGATTGAGTTTATTTTTCTAGGATGGAAGATTTGACAAACCCAGAGGATATCCGAACAAACATCAAATGTGACCGGCAGGTGTCACTTTATGTTATTAAGAGGAGCACACTTGAAAAATAAAAGCCAAATTCACATGGCAGGTATTCTCTTGTTGTAGAACATACTAGAATTACACATAGGATTCTTGGGATGGCTTCATTTCTCAGGAAAACTGAAAAATGACCCAACAAGGGAAGATGGCCTTGCTGGAGATTTTAAAAGTAAAGCAGCTGTGTGTAGGCCTGCAAAGGTGTTACCGAATCCCCTCTTCTCTGACCTCTTGTCTTGTAGCTAGAGGGCCACTGTTCCAGTGTGGCGCAATGCCCTTCTTTAGGGTCATGGGTTCAGCCCTTGGACTGTGGATCGTTGTTAACCCCCAAGTCAACAGTAGATACTTACTGACTTCCTGTCAGCTGAAGCTGGCTTTTTGGGTCCTGTCTTCCAGGGGTAGAAGATTTTGCCATGAGTGATGTCAGTTTCCTTCCAGACCCTTGTGCTCTTCCTGAACAACAAAAGAAGCGCTGTTTAAATAATAAGGAGCAGCTGGTTTATGCGCCTCTTTCTGGAGTTGGGCGTGTGCTGTATGACAAAGACGCTGTCTATGTTGACCTTGGTGCAGCCACGGTTTTCAGGCATCGGTGAGATGGGGGTCATTGCTCTGAACTCTCATTATTCTTTCCAAGTCTATTTTTTAATCAAAAAAAGTAATGTACTCAGCTTTTATTTATTGAAGATTTTTCTCTTGTACTTATAATAAAGGCCCAAATGCATACTGTAAATATGTAGAATAAAAAGAATACCTTTTTTTATTATACCAAACAAAAGCGTCCTGTCCTCCATGCCTCGATTCGTGGCCCCGGCGCAGGCCCTGCTGCCTGTGTGGCACCTGCATGGCTTATTTCCGTTTCTACAAAACCAGTGTGCTTGCCAGCTCTCGTTGGTCTTTTTCTTTTTCTCATTCACAGTGGTCTCCTCGTTCTTCATTTTAAAGCAGATTTCCAATATTTATTTCTTAGTTCTGAAGTGGAATTTTGTTGGGTTAAAATCAGGGTTATTTTAAAATGTTAGAAAAGCTAGAGTTGTCATAACACTGGAACTAAGATTTTTCTAGCTAGGTGTTTTGGTTATCAGGTTATATACTCACTGAGCTTTGGAAAAGTTTAATGGATATGGGGATCCATTTCAAGCTTTGTTATAAGGATTTTCTTCTCTGGTTTTTGTGGCATTAAAAAGGTTCTTGGGAAATGTGTCTAAGATAATTTTGAGAACTGAGTGAAACCAGTGTCTCTCCAATATCTTTGTGCTTTCCTCACCTGCCATTTCTTGGTGGTCTTGACAGGACGAGGTGGAGCCCACCCATGAGCTGGTCCAGAGTCTCATCTCCACCCACTCCACCATTGATGCCAAAATGGCTTCAAGTCGGGTGACGCTGTTTTCTGATTCCAAGCCACTTGGGTCAGAGGCTATAATCAAGGGGAAGTCTGCTTTTTTTTTTTTTTTTTTTTTTTTTTTTTTTGAGACGGAGTCTCACGCTGTTGCCCAGGCTGGAGTGCAGTGGCGCGATCTCGGCTCACTGCAAGCTCTGCCTCCTGGGCTCACGCCATTCTCCTGCCTCAGCCTCCTGAGTAGCTAGGACTACAGGCGCCCGCCACCGCGCCCGGCTAATTTTTTGTATTTTTAGTAGAGACGGGGTTTCACTGTGGTCTCGATCTCCTGACCTTGTGATCCGCCCGCCTCGGCCTCCCAAAGTGCTGGGATTACAGGCTTGAGCCACCGCGCCCGGCCTTTTTTTTCTATTTTTAATGAAAATATGTATTACAGAAGATCATATCACTTGTAATTCTGCCATCATAACACATTTTGGTGGGATTCATTCTATTTTGTTTCATTTTTCTTTGTGTGTACGTGTGTCTCTGAGGGCTCTTCACTTACCTGACATTAGGAGAGAGTCTTTTCTTGAAATAAAATACAAGATGCATTTTTCAGCAGACCCCAAGTATTCCTCAAATACCACGCCATCTTCCATAGGTTGCTTTCTTGTGTTAGGATTTTAACACAGGAACATTGACGGAACACAGCATTCCTTCCATAGCACCAGGGTAGTCTCCTCATGTCAAGGTCTTTACCTTAATCACATGTATGATGTACCGTTTTCATGTAAGGTTCTAGGAATCTGTGGACATCTTTGGGGGGGCCATTATTTTGCTGACCACATTATACATATATATATATTCTAGACTAGTACAAAAACAATGCCACTTCCATTGCTTTATGTATGTGTATATATATACGTTGTCTAATGCTATAATTTTTAAAAAGTTATAGACACAAATATACCCATTTAAAAAAAACTTTTTTTGCTATTTTACTTCATACTGCCATCTTATTTTTCCTGAAACTGTTTCAACCCTGGAATTCTTTATCGCTATTAGTTTTATTTAATTAAAATATTCATGAATGAGCATACACTTGTATGTGGATTTAAAATTCACAGTAATTTTCTCATGAATTCATCTGTGAATAACATTTTATAGACAAAATGTCTGCACTAGGATGAGGACAAGAGGAGGATGTATAATTCCCTTGTTTTAAGGTACCGCCATTCATTATTATTATTTTAAAATATGAGTGTTGACTGATGTTAAAACACAAAAAGGGAGTGGTGGCTCCCACCTGTAATCACAACACGCTGGGAGGCCGAAGTGGGTGGATCACCTGAGGTCAGGAGTTTGACACCAGCCTGGCCAACATGGTGAAACCCTGTCTCTACTAAAAATACAAAAATTAGCTGGACGTGTGGTGTATGCCTGTAATCTTAGCTACCCAGGAGGCTGAGTCAGGAGAATCGCTGGAACCTGGGAGGCAGAGGCTGCAGTGAGCCAAGATCACGCCACTACACTCCATCCTGGGTGACAAGCGAGACTCTGTTCTTCCCCCGCCCCCCGCCAAAAAAACCCACACACACACAAAGGGATGATTGGTTGGGCACAGTGGCTCACACCTGTAATCCCAGCACTTTGGGAGGCCAAGGCGGATGGATCACATGAGGCCGGGAGTTTGAGACCAGCCTGACCAACATGGAGAAGCCCTGCCTCTACTACAAATACAAAAATTAGCCGGGCATAGTGGCACATGTCTGTAATCCCAGCTGCTTAGGAGACTGAGGCAGAATAATCACTTGAACCTGGGAGGTGGAGGTTGCAGTGAGCTGAGATCACACCATTACACTCCAGCCTTGGCAACAAGAGCGAAACTCCGTCTCAACAACAACAACAAAGCAGATTTATAACTGAGCAGTGGATTTGAAAATTGTTTTAACAAATATTCAAAATACCTAAGGAACTTGTATAAATAAATAGGAAAAAAAAAAAAGAGAGAGAAAACCATCAAGAAGCCCCCACAAAGCAGATTTGTAAATGGGCAATGGATTTGAATAGACATTTAGCCAAAGAAGACATCCAGCTGGTGAAAAGGCATATGGAAAGGTGCTCAACATCATTGATTACCAGGAAAATGAAAATCAAAACTGCCACAAGTGGCTTAGACCATAGCGGCGTGCATGAAAGTTTTCAGGCCTCCAGTTGTTGGGAGTGGCTGAGGAGAGTGGGGAGCTTTTGTCTGTTGGAAGAGTGGAGTCTCAACAAGAACCAGTGTATTGTGGACATGTGTGGGCCCTGGAGTGTGCATGGCTGGATGCCCTGTCTACCTGTGCCTTACAGAGTGACACCATTGTGCTATGGTCGATCAGAGGGGCAGGTGGCTTTCAGAGGGAGTGGGAAGTGGTGGGGGTTGGTTTGTTTGCCTGTGGATGATAGCAAAAGTGGGTTAGCTTCCCAAGAACTTTTAATAGTAGCCTGTTTTGCTGCAATTCTAGATCCAGACTGGGGTCCCAAGGCATCTTGGTAGTCCACAGCTTCTTAGCAAGTGCATGTTCAGTTGGATCCCCCAGCCCAGCCTGGGTCATCTGCATCTTCTGCCTCTTGGGCCACACATAGCTCGGCTCTGCACTGAGCCGTCATCCTGTGGTGAGCAAGACCACATTCTTGGGCTTCAGTCTCTTTCCCTGCAGCATGCAGTCAAGGTGGTGTGAGCCACATCTCACAATGCCTGCTGCCTGAACAAGGACCAGAGGCCTGTGGAACACGCGGCTCTCAGGTTTCTCCTACTCGATGACTCTTCAGCTGCCCCCACATGGCTTTCTAGCTCACAGCAGATCTAGCCTCCTCTGAGCAGTGAAGATGGGATGTTTTATGGTCATTTTCCCTGGTGTGCAGTGCCCAAGCGGAGTTCTTCAGCCCACCCTAGTCCATCCCCTCTCTAACCCCAGACCTGTCCAGTCTTACCTCCCTTCATATCAAAAGCCCACAGTTAACCCAGAGGGCTTCAGCCCTGCCATGCCTGACTTTCTAGGAACCCCCCTCTCCACGCACCCTAATCAGGACACTGTGTGAAGGTTCTCCCTCATTATTTTAAAAGGAGGAGAAATTTTTCTGACATAGAGGTTCTGGTGAAGTGGCCAGCTCCCACATCACAGGGAGACAACAGTTTGGGCTGGACCAGGATAAAACAGTGCTGTCCCGGAGCTGGCCATCTGATAAGGGGCTCCAGAGAGTGCAGTGATGGACCCCTGGGAGGCTTTCTGCTCTCCTGATGGCAGGTTTTTGGTGAGAAGACCTATTGGCCACTAGGCTGGCTGTGTGTGTGTGTGTGTGTGTGTGTGTGTGTGTGTGAGTGATATGTTTTCTTGGATTGATTTCTTTCAGCATGAAGCCCACTGTTTTGCTGAATGTATCTCACTGTTTCCTGAAATTCACTACATTCAGCTGGCTTAAGGGTCCTGGGGCCTCGCTGTGTCATATTTGCACAAGCCTAGTGTCTGTGCAGACTGTACACTGGAGTTCAGTTGTAAGACCGTTTTGATCCCTTATTCTGTCCCTGTAATAGAAAAGCCATTTCATTCAATGGAATAGAAACCCAGATATATTGGCGAGATGTTCTAATCTGTCATCACTGGGGCAGTGGCCAGTGATTTGGACTTTGTAGCGTAGATGGAAATGTCCAGGTTCTCTAGGTGGTGGGCAGAAGCCTCACTTTTTAAAAAACTTCCCCCACTCCACCCCTGCCAATGAGGACGTCGCTTGGGGGTATTTCCATCAGTGTTAAGTAGAAGAGATCATTTCCTGATGTTGAATTTTAGGTAAGGATGCCAGCTTCTGTATATCAGGGTAGTGGTGCTTGGGCTGAGACAGGCCTAGACAGCACTGTCTGAAAGGGGGCTCAAGGAAGTAGCTGTGAAAGGCCCCTGGGATGTTTTCTGCTCCCCTCTCTACAAGTCGCCTGGAGGGAGATCCTGTTAGTCACTATGGGGTGTGTGTGTGTGTGTGTGTGTGTGTGTGTGTGTGTTCATCACTTGTTGCTGGGGGGTGGGAAGAGACA